CTGCTCCACCATAATGAGGTAATTCGGGGCTCTGAGTGCCAAGGCAGCAGCTCCCTCTCACACAGAAATAAATTAATCACGGCAAAAGCTCTGTGTGTGTTCCCAGCTGAAGGCTGGCTCGTTSTGAAGAGCTCTTGATTTCCTGGTGCTAATCACAGGCTTCCTTCATTTTAATGAAGCTCAAAGGAACACGATTGCCTTCCTGGCTTCCCTTTCATTCCCCACAATCAACTCTGGGGCTGAAAGAATCCGAAGTGATTTGTCACAGCCAAACCCCTCATCTCTTCTAAGAGACAAATTAAGGCTGAATACCCAATATAACCACAGAAATCCCTCCCTGTGTGCACTAATCAGGGTAATTCATTAATGCACCACCACAATTACACTCCTAGGTCGTGTTTATTATTTTTAAATTATGCCAATCAAAARGAAATAAAAACATTATCTACGCACTTTGCACGATGACTGGTGTGCAAGATTATTCTCCCACATCTTGGGAAGGGTTTATCAATTATTACCTCAAAATATCAATTAGTACCTCAAAATTYTGCTCCATGAGGTTTCCCCCTTTGCTCAGGCTCTCCATGATCGCTTTATTCCGAAGGATGTCCTCCTCACTGAGATGTTCCCTTCTTTTCCTGGATTCCAATACGAGTCCATTCACCAAGTAGAAATCTGCCAAGAAGTTCCCTACTCTTTCCTGCACAAAAAGAATTGGGGCATTAATGACTCACAGAAGATAAAATAAAAGCATTTTGATTCTCRGGCATCCAATAATGGCAATAAGGGAACTTGGGGATTGAGCTGGAATTATCCCAGGTCCCCACATGGGCTGGCAGTGGGCAATCCCAGAATTCCAGCAGAATTCCAGGCTTTTCTTATCMATGAGAGCTTTAAGACAGAGATAGTTTAAGAATTTGAGTGGCCAAGGGAAATCTTGACTGCAATCCCCTTCCAAAGCATCCCATCCCTGTTTTTCTCCAAGGGGAGCACACAGAATCCTTCCTGCTCTCCCTGGGATCAGCCTGCAGAGATCAGAGCCTCTGATAATAAATAATAATAGTCATTTCCAGCACAATCTGTCCTCCCCCTGCCCAAGTTACAGTGATTTTCTTCCCAGTATTTCCTTCTGAAGGCAGTCCAGAACAGAAATCCCACATGGAATGAACTGTGACAGTTGGGGATACAGGGAGGGACATTGTTCCTTGTCCTGAACACCTTCTCCTTTTAGAATCCTGGGTTGGCTGGGGTGGGAAGGGACCCTAAAGCCCACCCAGTGCCACCCCTGCCATGGSAAKGACACCTYCCAATATCCCAGAGTGCTCCAATCCCTGTCCAGCTGGCATTGGGCACTTCCAGGGATCCAGGGGCAGCTTCTCCAGGAAATCTGTTCCAATGCTTTTTCCAGAGCTTTTCCCTCCTCCTCCTGCCCAGCAGCAGGCTCTGAGCTTCCCTGCCACTCACAGTTTTGTCCTCCCTGAAGAGCCAGCCCGTCTGGGCCCGTGTGAACGTGATGGATTTGGTGGATAAGGTGGCAGAGTAAATATCGCTGCTCATCAAAATGTCAACCTCYTCTTCTGTCTCCATCTCAGATTCCTGGAAGAAAAATTTCAAAACACTCAGCAGAACTTACAAACAACGATTTCTTCTTCTAAAAATACACAAATAAATACAAATCCATAAGCCTTGTCCTTTGGATCTTTTCCCAGAAGCAGCATTTCCTGATTTTTCAAACTGTTCTCTAAAACCTCTGGCCAAATGGTTTCCAAATAGTTTAATCTTGAATATTAATGTGAATAAAGCATCCCGATGGGATTTATCCAGCAGCTCAGCAGCCACACCCTTCCCACAGGCAATAATCCATCTGCTTAAGTGATTGGGGGGATAAAGCTGTAATTAAAGACTCAACTAATTACAGGGGGTCCAGTGAGTCAGACCCTCACGTTTTTATCAACTGATCTGGCCAAGGAGTGAGCAAAGGGATGAAAAGCAGTGGGAGCAGCTCTGAAAACACACCTGAGGACACCAAAATTGAGCCCAGTGCAAAGAATAACTTAAACCACATCTTTCCCATCTATTCCAGCTTTTCCTCAATCAGAAATCTGGATTCAAAGCTGGTTTTCCTCACAAAATTCCATGTCAGCTTCACGGTTCAAGTTATAACAAATGAGGAAAAAATTCTTTGGACCTTTCTGATTCACATTTTGTTTAATACATCCCCAAAAACCCCCTGGGATGTGTCCCACCCTTTTGCCAGAGCTTTACCTCGTGGTGTATTCGCTGGTAAACTTTTTGCTCATTGTCTAAAACTACAAAAGATTCGGAGGGTGCGGCGTCACCGTTGAAAATGAAGCTTAAATCCCCTCGTTGGCACTTCATGTCAGTAAAGTCTATCAGAGTTGTGTCCAGCCTGTGAAAATAAACCCAAATTGCACAAAAATGACTCATAAACACATGAGGAAATTCAGCTTTCAAGCAGAAAAGTGAATTTTTTCAATGGCAAATAAACACATAAAGGGCTGAGTTTTTATAGGATTTCCTAAGTGAAGCCTGGATGCAAAAATCAGAAAAAAATTGCTACAAAGGTAAAGTTTTCTTCAAAAAATTGTATTTAATACTGCCAGCATGAGGAAGGGAGAAAATAAATGTACACAGTTAGGATGTGCTACACACTGAGAAACAACTCCTCAGCACTGCCCTACACTGCCCTGGMCTGAGGAACAATATTGGGACGTGACCCAAATTCTGCAGAGGACTAAGAAACAAACTAATTTTTTTTTAAATTTGACTCATTTTCACTGCTATTTCAATTCTTCTTCCTCACCAACACAAAGGAAATGCTCCTGCAGACTTGAATAACTGGGAGAAGATGGCCCAAGCCCATGGATCTCTGTAGTAATTCACATCCAGTACTGCCAGAGCATTTATTTCTCTTAAAGGGTGATTAAAGAACCTGAACTGGGGACTCCTTCAGGTCCAAGTGGTGAAGGATTAAATCAGATTTCCCTGATTCCAAGGAAAAATCTGTGTTTATCTATTTCCCCTCACTTCAGGCCTCATACAGAAATGAGAAGGTAAGTAACGGCCTCCAACTCAAATTTCACCTAAAAATTCACTTTACACACCCAAGTTACACCTTTAACAGAACAAAACTTTCTACAGATTGAACCTCCATGATCACATTCTTGTCTCTTTGTTTATTTTAAACTTTGGCCCCTAAAGAAAAAGCCAGAAAATACATTTGATTCCAAACTAAAGCAGCTGAAGAGCTGAGCTTGGAGACTTTCCTGAAACCCCCTACTGAGTCTGTGAATTTGTCACATTAAAAACCTGAAAAAGAGAAATCATATCACTGTTTTTTTAATTACAGACTGGAGCAGCAACATTTCTCCACAAAATACTGGAATTTAGCACAATTATTTGCAACTGTGTTAAAAATATCCAATCCCTGTTCTTCACTGTCTGGTAGATAAAGCCTTATCCAGCTGAACTGYTCTTGCTCTATATTTAAGTTAAATTCAGCTCAAAAGAGATAATCAGAGCGTCTGAAATTCCACAGTGCTGTGTCATGGATGTGCCCAGACTCTGTCAGGCTCCCTGGGATCCAGCTTTTCCCTGAATCACAGGATTTGGGTACAAAAGCAGCACTCACCTGATATTTATACCTTGTTTGTGTATTTTACATGCATCAGAAGGCAGAATTCGGGAAAGTAAAGGCACTAAAGGAGGGAGARAAAAGGCAATCAGGACACTGAGATCCCTCTGCAGAATATTCCCAGTAAAACCAGTCCATCAGTTTTGATTCTGGATGTGTTTTAATGCAAGGACAGCACCTTCCACCATCACCTCAAACACAACTGACTGACACCAGGGGTATTTCAATCTGATAAAATTGATTTCTAATTACACACACTGCTTCTAATATCAGGACAGGACTTCTATCTCCATCACAGGTAAACCAYTGATAAATCCTAATAATTGTGGCTGTTCCAAATTTGAATTTTGGGATTTGACAGTTTCTCTGTTGCCCCAACTGAAAGCCTGGATTGTATTAAAGCAGAATAGCCACAAGCAGAAAAAAAATAGTCCAAAGCATTAAGCTTAGACTAAGCCTTTAAKAAAATATAAAATCATGGAATCCCAGACTGGTTTGGGTCAGGAAGGACATTAAGGATCATYCCATTCCACCCCTTCTAYAAACCAGGTTCTTAAAGCAAACAGCTCCTTCCCCCCTCACTGAGTCATGGGATAAGAGAATTCAGCTCCCAAAGTGAGTGAGCAAAAATAATTTTGGGAAAAGTTGTGTGTACTTTCTTTAGGACTCAGCACTGGATTGTGAATGYTCCAGCACAAAGCAGAGGAGAACAAGTGTGCTGAGGGCTGATTGCATTATCTCCCTGGGAAAGGAGGATGGAATTACTCACCCCAACTTTGAAAATCCCAGTGAAGCTCTAGATAGAAGTCACCTAGCTGAGAAKAGAAGAAGAACATATTAACAAGCTTTTTAGGCTAAATAACTGTAAAATCTGCTGAAAGACAGGCAGAAGTCGTGTTTGCCAAACCAAGAAAACTTCCTCTATTGCTGTACTTGAATTTATACTGAACTGAAACATTACTGCAGCTTTAGCTGCAGCAGAATCAATAATCATAAAAGGATGTCACCCATTTGAACTCACATTGCAATCATTTTTTAACACTAACACACACAACTATCAAGCCCTGGATTGCAAAAGGCTGACTGTAAATATGTGTTTAAAAACACCAATGGAGCTCTCTGCTTGCTTTGATTGATCCCATCCAACCCCATAGAATTAGAATTAATTATCCAACAATTAATGAGTCAAGTTTCAGGCAGGAGTATTGCAAACACCAATTTCCATTKGCCTTGTGGAAAGGTGCTGAAATCATCAGGTCAAACTTCCTCCAGAGCACGTGGCAGCCAAAGCCAACCCCACCTCGAGGTGCTCAGGGATCCCCACCACAGCTCAGCTTCCAGAGGGACAATTTAATTTATTTTRGATAAATAGCTGGGTTTTACAAATGCTGTCCCCAAACTGAGCAATGTCTCACTGTGCCCACAGGGAATTGGATGCTGACGGAGAATGAAAGCAAAAATCTCCTCCATTATTGAGCAGGAGCCATTGGGATTGGGGACTGAACACACCAGGAAATTATTCATCAATACAAGATTCAAAGAAGCCTAAAAAAATCTAATKAAATAAAGAGATTCTTTAACTTTGAGATTGCAAAGATGATGAGCAGACCTGTCTTACACAAACATTTAATTCCAATTTCTGCAAGTTGAAAGGAAGCACGATCTTAAAATAAATATAATTCTGTGACCCCTTAAAACGAAGCTAAGATTGCTTTTAAGAGCAGATGTTTGGTGAAAACACAGAAAAAGCCTCCAGACAGTTTTCCAGAGTGTCCCTACTCAGAGCACAAGTCACTGCTTTCCATCCCCTCTGGTCCTGGCAGCACAACTCACCTCTTTCAGGGCTTTTAATAACCGAGGTCGCTTCTCTTCAACACTTTCCCTGGATTGCTGCTTGAGCTTCCTCAGGAGTGCTGAAACTACAAAGGAATTAACTCCATGAACTGTTTTGGTTGGTAATTACAGGTGAGTGTCTTATTTGAGGTCTTAAAGCCAACAATGCAATGGAACATTTCATCAGACCTCTGAGAAATTAATCCCACTTACAGTAACTTCWCATTAACCTGCCTTGACCACCCCAGGAAGAAAAGCCTCAGTAATAGTTCATAAAATAAATGATATAATCATGCCAAGAGGGTTTTTWCACAGTATTAGTAAATATGTGGATACAAATACATGGTACTGAATATGTGTAACATCTACTCACTCCACTGAGAAAATCAGTAGTGAGAAGCTGACGTGAGAATGCTGATTATATATTATAAATTATATATAATATATTTCAGAATGTATATTATATATTATAAATTAGGGCATTAATGTATCAATAATACATTTTCATATATATTATGCAGTGAGTTTTCTGCTATAGGAATGCACTACCACACATGGTAGCACCAAATACTATTAACATCCGCCAGTGAGTAGCAGTAGAATAATTTCCCTTTACTACTCCTTTACTATTTTACTACTTAATTTCCCTTTACTACTGAGGTGAATAAATAATATTTCAATAATATATAATAAATTATATTTCCCCAGGGTCTGTGGAGATGCAGCCTAAAAGCCACATCCCATTGGCAGCTGATACCAACCAAACAAACCAGTGACCACAGGGAGCAGCTCCAAGGAGATGATCCCACAATTAAAATCCATTTGGATCCTGTCACTCCCATTCTAAAACCAAAAAACTCATGCAGAGCTTTCCCAATCCCTTAGCTCTGAGCAGAGTTAACAGCTGGCTTATGTAACCCAGAGCAATTTCTTATCAAGGAAATGGATGTGCCTGATCATGTTTAGATAGAAAACGTTCAGCTCATTGAGAGAAACCCTTGAGAGAGCTAAAAGAGGGGTGTGGGAAAATAATACAGCCTGAGAGCTTTGCTTTCCTGCTCTGAATGAGCCCCAGTTTGGGATTAATTGGCAAATTTGGATGAATGAAGAGGTGCTTACTCATCTGTCTGTCTCCATAGCTGATGGCTTCGGCCAGAGGGCTCCATCCCTGAGCGTTTTTCACCTTTACTGGAGCATTATGGGCTAAAAGCAGGTGGGCACATTCTGGGACAAAACATTCACAGTTATTTACAGCAAACATCAGCAGGATCAATCCAAATAATTCTACTCAATTCATATCAGAGATATCAAAACACAGATCTGGATCCTGACTCACTCCAGCAAACAAAGCCATTTATGCAACTACTTCCAGCACTTCCCTGTTCAATATCAGCACTAAAAATAATTGGTGATCAGCCACCAATTACATAACACTGAGTCTTGTCCCTCCAGCTACATGGATTTTGCTTTTTATAATATTTCTGCATGCCAAACACACACTGCCCTGTGGAACAAGGATATTAAATAGATAACAAGTGTATTTAATGTATGATATCAGCTCTCTCTGCTCCACACACAAACCATGGACCAAGAGATGCCAGGGCCTTCATCTCTCTCCCTAAAAGGTGAATGGACCACAGGGACACAGATTTGGGGTAAATCCCAAGTCCATCACATGTACAGGAAGCAGAGGAAGCTGAAGTATGAAGATCCTGAGGAATTTGGGATTAAAGAGGGCAAACAGGCACCTCTGTAACCAACTGTACCACACAGCTGCACCTACATTCCCTGTCCACGAGTAAAAAGTGACAGTGGAATGGAAAAATTAAGGAGCCAAGGAGGGTTTCAGTGTTTCCAGTGCTCCCTGGAAATGGTTCTTCAGTTTTTCCAACCACAGGAAAACCTCAGCACAGGCCACTAAAACCCCCCTGAGCTGTCTGGAGGTGATGGAGCAGGGTCCATYTGGGGCTGATGAATGTCTCATCACCAAGACAGCGACTTCCTGGGTTATTTTCCTACCACAGGTGCCACAGGAAGCTGCACTGGTCATTCCAGATGCAAGAACTGTGAGTCAGTGGCAGGCTCAGTGTCTGGGGAGGAAGAGATACTTCCCTGGTGAATAAACTCTCCTGTGGGAATAAACAATGGCCTGACTAACCCAGCAGAGGCACTGAGGGGTTTTCATGGGTCCTTAAGCAGTGCCCAGGATAAGAACATCACTCTGCAGGGAGCAGACAAATAAGCTTGGAATTACCAGCCAGATTCCAGTTCCAATTAAACAAACAGGYTGGCAGAGCTGGGGGTGCTCACCTGGAGAAAAGAAGGATSCAAGGAGACCTCAGAGCCCCTTCCAGGGCCTAAAAGGGCTCCAGGAGAGGGATTAGAGAGAAGGGATGGATGGACAGGACACAGGGAATGGTTTTCCACTGCCAGAGGGCAGGGAGAGACTGGGAATAAAGCTCACAGATATTTTCCCCCTCTTCTCCAAATCCATGTGGCATCTTCTTCCCAGAAAACCTCACCAGATTATACAAGATTATGTCCAGGAAAATGGAAAAAAATCCCTTTTTCCCCTCACCCCCAAATCTCCAGGATCACTGAAGAGGTAAAAAAACAAATGGTTCTACCCACCTTTATGTCCCAACATCACAGCAAGATGTAAAGGAGTGTTTCCTAAAACAAACACAGAAATAGAAGAGATTAAATTAAAGTTACCAGAATCCATTGCAATTCCTTCCTTAGGAAACTCCAGCTCCTGCTCTAACCCAGGAACACACCAACACCCACCAGAGGAGTGACATTTTTCTAAGMAACCATGTGGATTATAAATGTCAAAATAAATACACTGAGACACATTCCACGGGCCAAGAGAGGTTTTTTTTTTTTATGATATCTCAACACTCACTCCAGGCAAAGAGGTCCAGTTGTGTCTTTGAGGAAGATACAACCCAAACCCCWCTGCTCCCCACGGGCTGAAGGGTCTGATCCCTTCCCAGCCTGACATATCTRGGTTAAAAGCTACTCACAGATATGATACTGATTAAAAATTTAACATCCTGTTTTATTAATTTTTCAAAGATACGCATTTTTTACAACCACAGTGCTGGGCATATTGAGGAGGAACAGCGCCTTCACTACAAGGCTGCCTTTTTGTTATTTCCAAAGAAAGCTTTGGAGATATCAGCAGCCTTTCAAACCTGTCCCCATTTTCCTGGCAATGCACACGACACAGGTGGTATTTGTGTTGTTAAAAATTCACTGTGAGGCACCCAGAGCTGTTTTTCCTGGACTAATGCTGCTACCAGGCTCATGACACACTTTATTTAGGGAGCTTAAGGATGCAAAGTTCTTCCATTTAACTGTATTTTGCACATTTAAATACTTTCTTAGAGCAGTCAAGAGAAAAAAAACGCTGCAAAACAAATTTCTTGTGCAATTCAGGGTTATTTTCTAACCTCCATTTCGTCAGCAGGAAGAACCTGCTCYGCGCAGAGGATGTGCTGCACATCTGGGAGAGGCTGCCACAGAAATGCCAGCACCCTGCAGCATCATGGAATTTGGGATGGAGATGGAAACTGTGCCCTGCTTGCCTGAGAAGGGCTGAAAAGGGCTGTTCAATGTGTCCTGCATTTCATCCTTACAGGACACTGGCAGCATCCCAGGCAGCCACATCCCAGCTCATTACACACTAACCCAGCTCAACTCCTGCTTCTATTAATAGCTGCTCCAACATCTGGGAGCCAGCACAGCACTGGGAACCCTGGACGCTGCCAGGCTCTGCTAGGGGATGGAAATAACCTTCCYGAGGAACAGGGAGAAACAGCCATACTCAGGAAATGCAAACACTGTGAGCCATGGGGGGAAACTTTCCCAGAATCATGGAATCACAGGGCCAGTGAGGTTGGAAAAGCCTCCCAGGATCACCAAGTGTCACATCCAGGCCTTCTTTGGACACTTTCAGGGATGGGGACACCCAAACTCCCTGGGCAGCCCCTACCAAGGCCTGAGCACCCTTTCCATGGAGAAATTCCTGATGATGTCCAGCCTGAGCCTCCCCTGGCCAGCCTGGAGAAAAGAAGGATGCAAGGAGACCTCAGAGCCCTTTCCAGGGCCTAAAGGGGCTCCAGGAGAGGGCTTAGGGACAAGGGAGGGACAGCCTGAGGCCGTTCCCTCTCCTCTGTCCCTGTTCCTGGGATCAGATCCCAAATCCCCCCTGGCTGTCCCCTCCTGTCAGGGGTTGTGCAGAGCCAAAAGGTCCCCCCAGAGCCTCCTTTGCTCCAGGCTGAGCCCCTTTCCAGCTCCCTCAGCCCCTCCTGGGGCTCCAGACCCTTCCCCAGTTTCCTGCAGCCCCTCAAAGTCTTTGGGCTTCAATGCTTCTTCTGGATCCAGAACTGACCCCAGACTGGAGGTGAGACCTCACCAGTGCCCAGCACAGTGACAGCCCCTCATCCCAAGGAATCAGAGCTACAGCAGCTCCTGGAATCCTGCCCGTGCACATCCAAGCAAACAAGGCCTGTTGGCACAAAAACACACCTCAAACACAGCACCTGTCCCCACACACGKGTGGCCTTTCACCTCTGCTGAGGTACCTGCAAACCTCAGAGAGAGCCAGGGCTATTTTCCAGCTGTTTTCCAGCAGCAATTCAGCAAGAGGATTTGTCTGTTGCAGGATTTAAGCTCTTACATGCATGCTATAATAAAAACATAAGTCATCTACTAGGTGTAGCTACAGGCTTCTCCCAGGAAACTCATTGTTAGGGAATAATGATCCTAGCCTTCCTCTGGGCAGTGATTTGGAGGTTAATTTAGGGAGCTGGGCAGGCACTCAATTAACACTCAATTGCTTTTAGCAGAACAGCAGGAGTCTCCCATTCCACAGGATTTGGCTTTCCTGCACTGAACCAACACTAAAACAGGCCTGGATTATTAACAATAACTTCTCTCTCYCCTCTGTCCAATCCTTATCACATCCCAGGATTTCTCTGGCTTATTTCTGAGCAAATAATCAGCTGAAGTGTCCCCCAAATAATTCCCTAGTCCAGTTCGTAAACAAGTGACAGATGGAATCAGGCAGGAAGAAAACAATAACAAGGAAATGTTACTCAGGCCTTTGGAATGTCAAGGCATCAAGAGGTTTGTTGTGGGTTTTTTTTTACAGTTCAAATAAAAACTTGGAGGAAGGTGATGAGTCAGAGATCCCTAAAGTGTCCCAACTCTAAACAGAGCTGGGAAAACAGAATGATATTAACTGGAGATTTATATAAGATATATCTGGATTAAAAAAGGATAGAATCAATGTTTGTGATCACTGTACAGCAAAGAGGGATCAAGGAACTGCCTCCAAGTAAAGATTTGAAGCTGCTGTTGAGTTGCTTGAAGAGGAACTGGAGGAGGAGCAGGGAGAAGCAGCAGCAGGAATAGACAGAGTGGGAAAAATCCTCCCCAAATCTGCTACTTTCATTCTAGCAGGATTTGCTGGAATGGAGGTGGCAGGATAAACAGATCTGTAGCTGGATTTGGAGCAGTGCCCTTAGGAAGAGCTGTGCCAGTTGTAGGGAACACTCCTGCCCACCCTGGCTGGGAGCAGAGCCCTGAGTTACTCTGCATCCCTCAGCTGGGCTCCAGTGCCCAGAGTTAGCACAGACACAGCTGTAATTCTCAACTCCATCATTCCACAGATCCTCTACCTTCGTGTCCCTTTTGAATTTACAGACCATAATTAAGCACAGCCAACCTCCCTATCAGAAACACAACACAAGCGTTCCCTTTATCACAACTTCTCAGACACCACACACGTGGAATTCTCCAGCAGAAACAGATCATGTTACTCTTGAAATAGGTATTAAAAATAAAGATTAAAAACTAACCATGAAGGTCAAACTGATCCCCCAGGCTGACTTATTTGTTAACAGTATAAAATATTCCCCACATTGATGCGCTTTAAGATGTCCTGGCAAGACATTTAATATTTACAAACTTCAGAGCAGCACAAGGATCAGATTCCACCTCTGCCACCAACACTGCATTGGACAGAGCATTTGCAGAGGAGCAGCAGAGAACAACTCTCTCAAAAGAGTTGAAGCACAACATTTAAAATGAAAGAGGAAAAATATTTGTTTTTTGTAGGTTGAGGAAACATAAATGACTGCTCTGCCAACAGCCAAAGGAACCACTCATCACCCCCCAAAGCAAACAGGTGACAGCTCAGACACCTTAAAATGGAAGGAATTTTTTGGGATCTTGGTCACGGAGCAACACCTGGTTAGAGACAGCTCTGCCAGCACTGTGCTGGTACTGGAGCTGACACTGCTCACTCATATTACGACAGTCATGGAATTATGGAATGATTTGGGTTGGATGGAATCTCCAAGTCCATCCTGTGCCACCCCTGCCATGGACAGGGACACCTTACACTGTCCCAGGCTGCTCCCAGCCCCAATGTCCAGCCTGGCCTTGGACACATCCAGGGATCCAGGGGCAGCCACAGCTTCTCTGGGCACCCTGTGCCAGGGCCTGATCCCCTCGCAGGGAAGGATTCCTTCCAATATCCCATCYAACCCTGTCTTGCATCAGTGGAAGCCATTCCCCTTGTCCGGYCACTCCATCCCTTGCCCAAAGTCTCTCCTAAAGGGGATTTACGCACCTTTATGAACCTCCCCTGTAAAACTCCAATGAATTCCCTATTTCCCCGTTCCGGATCCGCACCTCCCGCCCTGCCCCGAGTCCCGGTTTCCCCGGTGTGTCCCGCTCACCGTGACTGTCCTTCTGGGCGATGCCCTGGGTGCGGATGAGCGCCGAGAGCCGCCGCACGTCCCCCTTGAACACACACTCGTGCACGGGGAAGGGGCCGCGCTCGGGCCCGGCGGGGGCAGCCCGGGCCGGCGGGCGGTGCCGGTGAGCGCCGGGCCCGCGGTGCCCCCCGGCCC